TCAACCCCAATCCAATGAATGGGAGGATGAGTGACTTGTGGATGGAGATGTTGCATTGATCAGGCGGGCCATGTAAGGTTCAATGGGAGCAATGGAGATTATCAGAAACATTCCCACCCATTCAAGCTGTTCCATCCTTATTAATAGAGAAAGTAGAGAAAAATAGTACTCTTAATCTGAGTCTACTAATGTAATAAACTACACTATTAGAGTTATAAATATTGAGCTATCCTCAAGAGGAGGTTGAAAACTGTGTGCTAGGTAGGAGTTAGATGTAACTTAATTAGGTTATTTACTTCAGTTTCCTAATAAACACTATGAGTCACACTGCAAAAGTGCCTTTTTCATAGTTTGGTAACATTTCTTGTCTAAATCGTCTAATATTCTCAGGACTGTTTATCCCTTATAGATATGCAGAACTCACTTATCAAAATCATTTGGGCTTGATGACACTTTTATGGGTAGACTTAAAAAAGTCTTGGATGTTTTGAGACAGGGTCTCAAAGTATCATTCTTGAGTCGATTTTTGCATGCATTTTAATTTTTATTTTACCTTTGGTATGTTAATAATTTGCATTTTTCATTCTTTTAACTTTTTATGTATATTGCTTATGTCTGTGCACACTATGCTTGCAATGACTGCAGAGGCCAGAAGGGGGCGTCAGAGCCACCACTAGAGTTACAGATGGTTGTTAGCCATTGTAACCATTGTATGGGTAATGGGAATAGAACCTGGTTCCTCTGCAAGACCAACAGCCACTCTTGGCCACTGAGCCACTTCTCCAGATCCCACGAATTTGAATTTTTAAGATAATGGTCAGGATTGTTCACAGCTTTACTGTGATCGAAAACTTGCATCTTCAGTGTTTTCTCTCATCTTGTTAATGTTTTACTTTATTTTCTTCAAATGGACAGATTCCTATTAAACTGTGTGTGTGTGTGTGTGTGTGTGTGTGTGTGTGTGTGTGTGTGTGCGCGCGCATGCACATGCGCACATGTGCTCCTTTTCATTACTTTCTGCTCATTTTCCAAATCCTCGTTCCCAGCACAGACATATCCCCTCTCCTGGCTGTGGGTGGTCCTGGAGATTTTTAGGGTCTTGCTTGGTGAATTAAGTTATGTCAATTTCATTTCTGGACAATTTCCTCTTGGGGAGAAGTTGTGAAGTTTGGGGGGCTGTTTTAAAATGATCAAACTAAGAGGTAAAAGAAGGATGAGACCTCTCAGCCCTGATTTTGGATGGATGGTTTTAGATTTCTAAGAAATCTGGTAAATAGGAGATGGGCTAAAGCATCAGCTGTAGATGAATCCATAGATTTAAAAGTCATAGTGTTTATCAATTTTTTTATACATTTTGAGAATACCTTGCTAGTATAAGCAGTTGGACAACTTTTTTCAATAGGCATTTGCTTTTTAATATTTGTGTGTATGCACGTGTGTGCATGTGTGTGCACATGTGAGCAGCATGTTTGTACATGTGTGTGGTGTGTGTGCATTTTTGCATGGTGTATGTGTGTGCACATATGGGTGTGATGTACACAGGCCCATGTACCACATGTATGTGGAGTAGAGGTCTGCCTGAGGGAAGCAGTTCTTTCCTCCCACTTTATGACTCTATGAATCAAAATGAAGACATGATTAATCTTGACCCCAGAGCCCTTTACTCAACGGAGCTGTCCCACAGGCTCTCCACCCACTTGACACTTGCTTTCTTTTTATCATTATATAAAGGCTGCGTTGTCACTGATACCTCTCTCACCCGCCTTCCTTTCTCTCTTTCTATTTGACTAGCCTGTCTGAAGTCAGTACAACTACAGCAGCTTTACTTACTGACTGATTAATTAATTCAGTTTTATCTGCCCATTTTTGCTTTACTTCTTTCCTTCTATATATATGGGGGTATGGGCCTTGACAAGTTTATTCAACTTATTTAGGACATTCTTATTTTGGTCTTATTCCTTTCTGTTTCATTGTTACTCTCTTTTTCAGCCCTTTCCCTTCATCCTGCCCTGTACTGGATTGAAACACAATTTCCATGAACAGCCTCTTATTTGGAAGCATGAGCTCTGTTTTTCTGGTCTTTGGATGTTTATGCTGAAAATGGTCAGGTGCCTCATATTTTACTTATCAAAGTTAATCAGCATGTCTATTATTCTTAATGCAGGACAAACTCTTAAACTGTTTCAAGTCTCTCTCTCTCTGTCTTGTTTGAGAACATCCAAACATAGTCAGTCCTGTTACAGCTATTATTTTAAGGAGATTTGCTTGATGCAATTGTTTTGCTTGCTGTTGCCTCTGACATCCTACCCTTGTATTCATTTTCCTTCTTGCTGAGCTCTTCTTTGCCTGGGTAGCTTTTGTTAGGCTGTGGGAGCAGTAAGTTCTTGTATTGTTGTGTAAGCATGGCTACTGCCTTCTTAGCTTTGTAAGGCCATTTCAGCATAGAGTTGGGGGTGACAATTACTGCTCCTCTCCTTGCAGTTTTAACTCCCTTGTTGCTGATGAGGAATCTATTGTTGCTTCAGTTGTCTTCATTTGCCACAAACTCCTTTGTCTCAGGCAGTTTTAAGACATCCTCTTTGATGTCCTGAAGGTTCTCTATAAGTCACCCTGGAATATTTCTGTTCTTTTTCCTGGGACTGGTAGATTTTTGTCAAGATTTATATCTTTCTTCAACCTAGGAACCCCACTGTTACAATCTGATCACTGCTTCTTCTCCACATTGACAAATGGATTTCACTGGAATTTCCATTCGATCTATTTTGTTCTTAATTTTTTTCTCCTCTGGCTTTTTTTTTTCTGTCTCTGTTTTGGGAAGGGCTAATTTTTTCTCTCTCTCCTTCTGTCCAGGGGAGCTCCTCCACAGTGTCTTTGTTCATTGTCTGGCTTGTGATTTTTGCCTAAAGGAGCAGCTTTAGTATGTTTATTACCCTCTTTTCTCTTTGCATGGTCATCTTATACACGTGTGCTACAGAAGCTTCCCCATGGAACACTTTAGCAGGGGCCCTAGCCTGGGCTCCAGCAGACTTACCTGGTTTGGGGATAGCTTTGAGGTCAGTGCCTTGACTGGTAACTCCAGCCTTATGTTGACATTCAGAGTCTGGGCATGGGCCAACACATCTTCAATGCACATAACACATGGGAAAGGCTGTGTGGGGCCCAATCTTTCTTTCTTTCTTTCTTTCTTTCTTTCTTTCTTTCTTTCTTTCTTTCTTTCTTTCTTTGTGTGTGTGTGTGTGTGTGTGTGTGTGAGAGAGAGAGAGAGAGAGAGAGAGAGAGGGAGAGAGAGAGGGAGAGAGATAAACAGAGAGAGAGACAGAGAGAGAGAAATCTTTCAGTTCATGACACGTGGCAGACAATTCTTTTCTGTTTCTTAGGGACACCAACTCTTAGGAGTTTCTAATTGCAGACCTCCCAATCTTTTCTCTGCCTCTAGCACCTGGCTTTTATATTTATCCCATTCTCATTTATATTCACTCACCCTATCTCTCCCCTTCCTCACTCTGGATCTTGAGTAGTCTTTGGTGTCTCATGACCCAAACTTAGTAGCGAAAGCTCTAGCTATCTCTAACCCCACATATCATTTTGTTAATTTTAGAGAGGGTCTCACTACAGCCTGGGCTAGTCTGGAACTCCCTGTATAGCCCAGGTTGGCTTTAGACTTGCTGTCATTCTCTTGTGTCCCAAGTGCTTGGATTACAGATATGAGCCACTACACCCAGCTAATGACCCTTGGATTGATTTTTATGAATCATTTTTAATCTTGAGATTGTCACAAAAACCTGGAGGTACTTATATTTTGTTTTGGATTTCTGTGTTTTCTCAGGCTGGGAGAGGTATGGTAGAACTATGTTCCCACATCATGAAGTAGCCACTCCTAAGTGGTGTGAGGCCAATGGTACAGGCCTAACACTGAGAGTGAAGAGGTCTTAGGGGAAAGAGCTACTCCACTGGCTTGCTTTTGAAAACCAAACTTACGTACACATAGTTCTTATACCAGGGAGCCCATTCTTCCCTCATAGGGCATCAACTTTGTCCTCTGCTCTTAGAATCTCATGGAATACACACACACATGGCTGTGTGTGCACACAGATGTGCAATGTGTGCCAAAGGGGAACAGAAAGGAACATGGGTCAAAGCTACATATAAAAGCTCAAAGAACAGTCTCCTGAGATGGCTCAGTGGGCAAAAGTGCTTTCTGCCAAGTCTGATGACATGAGTTCAAGTCCCAGGACCCAAATGATAGAATAGAGCTGATAACTATAAATTTTCCCCTGACTACCACATGCCACTCTACAGACACACTCTAAACTAGAAGGGGACAAATGTCATATTGTTGTTAACTCAACAGAGGAAAACATTATTCACTTGTTTGAGGTAGGTTCAGCATAGTTACTTGTCCTTTATATTTCTTTGCAAATGTTGCAAAGTGTAACACAGCAAAACTCAACCATTCAGGATGGCTTTTTAACCTTTTTTAACCCTGGTCAAGCTTTCTGATAAATAAAAACAACCTCTGCCTCCTCTTCATCCTCCCCTTCTCCTCTTGTTTTCTTTCTTACTCCTCTTCCCATTTAGGCACAGACTCACTATGCAGCCCTAGATATATGGAGCAGGCTGGTCTCGAACTCACAGAGATTCATGTGCATTTGTCTACCAAAGTGCCGGGATTAAAATTCATGGTCATCACATCTGGCTAAAAAGCTTCCTAGGGAATCTGTTTTTGTTTTTGTTTGGGGAAAGGCCACCTTTTGTAGCCCAGGCTGTCCTGGAATTCATTCCATAACCCACACGAGATTCTAACCCTCAGTGATCCTCCTGCCTCAGCTTTCTGAGAACTGGAATTTGAGGTGTGAGCCTGGGCTCTCCAGGGATTCTTAGTGACTAAATTAAGAATTTGGAGATGTGATTAGCTCAGAAGAAAGAAAGAAAACCAGCCTCAAAGTATCAGCAAAGATTCCAACTACAGAGTTCCATTGGACTGAGCATGCAGGAATTACCGTGTAATTTCGAGTGAGGGAGACGTCAGTACCATCCTGCAGATAATGGGTCTCCATGAAGCCATTGGCAATGAGCCCCCTGTGGAAACAGAAATGACATGAAGAGATGAGTGTGGCACTGCATGAGACAACCCAGTGACGCTCCCAATGGGCTTCACCTCTTCAGATTTCAGGGAGATTTTGGAGGGGATCCAAGTAGGGGACAGTCTGCAATGCATGTTTTGAAGAGTTGACCATCCGGTACCTGTGGTACCTGTGGGGTCCCCTTCACTCCTCTGATCTCATTCCTCTCAGATGCACAGTTTAGCATCTGCCATGTAGCTGGATGCATGCCCCCCCACACCATGCACCCACACATACCATCCCTTCCCCGCACCATCAGCCACTCCCCTCCCCCTCTGCGCCCCACTCTTTCATACAGTTGTACAATTTCCAAGCTGGGGAAACCCATCCCCAGATGTCACATTGCTCCACAAAGTAGAATCAGTGGCAAAGCCCCTGCTGGGAAAACAGTTTGGGGGCCATAGTTGTCTTCCTTATAGATGAGAGAACCTAGCGATCGATAAAGAAATGTCACAGGAGAGGTTAAAACAATGATGAAATGTTGAAAGTGATATAGGTGTGAACAAAAAAAGGAAAATTATTTGAATATCTGGAAATCCTGAATTTTCAAGATAAACTAAATCCAGGCAAGCCTCTTGTGTCCCAACTAAAGCTACTACAGTTGCTGGGTCTTCACGGAGACCAGAGCTCAGGCCAGGTGTTTTTAAATGGCTTTGAAGCCTGAGATGATGTGGTCTATTTCATTCTGCTCAATGCGATGCAGGAAACATTTCCTATACACCTGCCATGTACTGTTTTCAGCTGCTGGACCACAAAGATAATAGGCCAGTCTCTGCTCCTGAGGGTGCTATAGCCTGGTAGGGTGACAGAGGGTACTGTCTCAGAGTAGGAGAGCTGTATTCCGGTGAACCAGTGCACACTAGGTAGAGCATCAAGATGGCATTGCAGAGGGAGCTGGACACCGCTGTGCAGTAACAGAGGAGAATGTTGGAAGGACATCAGAGTGGGTAGGGGCAGAGGAATTCCCAGGCTGAAGATGGCCACGACAGGCTCCCTGAAGATGTGGAATCAGGAAGCCAGGTTGTACAGGGCAAGAAAGGGCCATGAACAGAATCTGATTTCATCTGTTGGGCCAGTAGAATCCAGAGTGGTTTCAAATTCTGAGTCACCAGAGGTGCAGTGGAGGGGGTGGCATTGTTGCTCTTCTTACCACCAGTTCTCCTGGGTAGGGGCAAGAGACAAACATGTGACCCAAGCGCAGCCAATCACAGATCTCCCTTGCAGGAAGTGGGGTGATAGAACTTCTGGAGAAGTGGCTTTTCCTCACTTTCTTAAGACTCAGGGCTGCAGAGTGGCCTGCAGTCTGGTGATCACTTGGAGGGGATGCTGGAAGTAGATATACCTGTTATCCTGCAATGATGAAGGGGAGAGGAGCAACGTCCAGCTGCTTGAGCGTATTGTTTCTCTCCAATAAGTCCCTCTTTGCCTTGAGCTGACTCCATCTGAGCTTGCAGCCAGCATCAGGGTAAGTACCTCAGAGCAGGGAGATGGAATTCTGGTATGTAATAGAGGAGAGGACCTTCTTTTCAAAGTCAGATTGCCTTAATGCTCTTCCAGCCAAGTTCAGAATGGAGGGCAATATCCTTGTTTTACATGGATTTCCAGAAACATACATGCCTATTTTAAGTCAGCTGGGCCACTGCAGTGGGTCTGAGCTATGATGTACTTATCCATGAGTGTTTTACAAGGGAAAACCAAAATACAATCCACAGAGAGTTGACAACCACACATGGGTTCTCCTGAGTTCTCTGAAGTCTGTTCACTTCCAGAGTGTTAAAAGACACATTTGGGAGGACTTCCCTGGTGACAGTGGGGTCTCAATAGCCCTCCCTAAAGTTCTCTTCTCTCTGCAGCTGCACAGGCACCCTGGACAGGCCCATTCCCAGAGGCCTGACAGCCTTGTTAGCATGTCCAGAGCAGAGTAAATGGGAGTAGGAAGAGAGCCGGCTGGCAGGTGGGATGGGAGACTATGAAGCCTCCATGAGAGGTATTTGGAAGTTTTAGTTGTCTTTCAGATGAGAGAAAATACAGGCACATTCATGCCTAGGGCACTAGAGAGTTCTGAAGTGTCATGCCTGCTCCTTCCTGTCACGTGTCTCTGAGCAGGCCCTGGGGCGGGTGGCCTAGGCAGCTGTGGCACTCCTGAGTCCACTCTGCTTTCTATCTACCAGGAGTACTTTCTCCTCTGGTTCACACTTCTTCTGGCCAACACTAGTCCCTGGATGGTTCTAGAACATTCCATCAAGGGCTTTTGCATTTATCATATCCTGTGTCTGGGGTGTTCTTTGCATGGTAAGTCATGGGGCTGACTTCTTCTCACCCTTCCTAGTGTAAACGCTGTCTTCCCAGGGGGTCTCTCCTCTGATGTGGAATCTGAAGCAGCCCCTTCACCCGCTACCCACTGCAGAGCCCTTTGGTTTCCTGGATAGCATTCCTCTGTGGTTTATTTTATCTGTTTATGCTTTGCCTCTCTTTGCTCTCAAGAATGTAAGCCATAGGGGATGCTCATTCCCCATTGAGTTTCCAATGGTGGGGACCGCCCACACAGCTCACAGCCTTCTCCTTCCCAAGCTAGTAAAATTTTGCCCAGCACTTCCTTTTTTAATTTTTTTTTTTTGAGATTATAATTTAATTATAACACTTCCCTTTCCTTCCCCCAAACCCTCTTATATAACCACCCCACTCTCCTTCAAATCCGTGGTCTCTGTTTTTCACTAATTGTTATTGCATGCACATATGTATATGACCTGTTCATTCCATATGATGTTACTTGTGTGTATGTCCTCAGGCCTGGTTGTTTGGCCTTGGACAGCCATCTGTTGTGCTCGTCCCTGGGGAGGACCACCTCTCCTGCTCCTAGCTTTTCTCAGTCACTACACAGTCTCCCTGTGTAGCATTGAGACCACATTTCTCTTCCCGCCTCCTCTTTGGTATGTTCCCTGCTGTCCATCCTTGTCCAGCTCATGTTGAGCAGTCATGCTGGTGAGACTTCATAGGGGTAGCCTCTGACATTGCTAGGAGACACAGTCTTACAGCAAACTCCCTGATCGTTTCTGGATCTTACAATCCTTCTGGATCTTACAGTCTCTTCCACAAAGTTGCCTAAGCCTTAGGTCTGGGAGTATTTTGTAGATGTATACATTGGATTGGGCTGGGCTCCACGACTCTGCATTTTGATTGTGGTTTTCTGTAGCAGTCTCCATCTGTTGAGCCCTTCCTTTGAGCCAGGCATCCACTCTGTCTGGGCCATCTCATTTAAACTTTTATAGTAGCTAGCTGTAGGGAGTGTCTGCTATTATTTTTGTTCCTTTTTTTGTTCTGTCTCTTGAGAGAGGTCCAGCCTGGCTTTGAACCCCAGATCTCTGAGAGAATAGACATGTGTCATCAAGCTCTAGACACTGTTTTCTTCCTTCCTTCCTTTCTTTTAAATCAATTTAAAAATAAAACAAAGCAAACAAAAGCTCTCAAAACCAGGGCTACAAGGGAGTTCAGGTGACCTGTGTAAAGTCACACCCAAGTTTGTACTTTAAGAAAAGGTTATTTATTTTTATTTTATGTGTATGAGTGATTTTCTTGCATGTATGCCTGTGCATCACATGTATGCCTGTGTGGCGATATATTATCTATGATTTATAAAAGCTTGCCTGAGGACTCAGAAAGCGAAGTCAGCCATGAGCCCTAGAACCCAGGCACACACCTTTAATTCCAAGACTCAGGATTAAGAGGTAGACCGATCTCTGTTAGTTCAAGGCCACACAGAGCTACATGAAATTGATCCAGTCCTAAAGAGAAACAGTTCACACAGATGATCTCAGCACTTGGGATCACACTCCTTTAATCCCAGGACTCACAAGAGGTATTTAAGACAGGAACAGGGTCTCAGAGCTGGCATTCATTCTCCAGCCACACTGAGGATAGGGCCGCACTCAGAGAGTTAGTTTCTAGCCACAGCATAGCAGTCTGAGTGAATGTGAGGAGCAGTGAAGTCTTGGCTGGCTGCTTTTCTTTTCTGATTTTCGGCTTGAAGCTTGGACCCCATATTAGTCTCTGGGTCTTTTATTTACCATGTTACATGTCTGCAGATGTTAGAAGATGCCATCAGATTCCCCCCCCCCAGAGGTGGAACAATGGCTGGTTGTAAGACAACATGTGGGGGCCAAGACCTGAACCCTGCAGGAACAGCAAGTGCTCTTAGCTGATCCCTGCAGTTAGTGCTTTTGTGCCCCCTGGGGTCATTGTAGCATCACCAGTTCTTCTAAGCTGGCCAGGTTTTATCTGCTGAGCACTTCTGGCAGGTACCATGTGAGACAGTGGAGAAAAGCACCCTGAGTGCAGTAAGGGGTAAATAGATGCACAGATGCAAGAGTCAATCTGAGGACAGCTCAGCAGAGCCCTCTCTTCACGTCCAGGACTCTCTCCTTCCTCCTGGGCGACTCACACCCCACCTCCCTCCTCAGTTCGTTTGATGAAATCAAGCAGGTGCTAGATCGGAGCGTTCTAAGATGTATATCTAATTTAAAAGTGGCTGGAAGTCAGAAGCCCCTGGAGAAAACAGAGAGGGGCAGATGGACAATGGGTGTATTGGAAATATGACAGCAACAATCTTGTATTTTTACCCAAAGAGAAAATCAAATTAGATGGCTCTCCATCAGCAAATGGGAGCAGAAGGTAGATGCGTAATTTCATGAGAACATTCCTTTCCTCTGCTTATTAGATTAGTTGACCTAACAAGGCATTCTCTTCCCCTCGACACCAGACAATGAAAAGCATCTTAACTGTGCCAGGAGCTGATGTTGCCAGTTCCCATTTGCTTTGCTGCTATTAGTGATACCTACATAACACTCTCATTTAGCTGCTAATTTTGTGCTGGAGCCTGGAGGTAAGGCAGAACATGAGCTTCCCCATCTGGGGAGAATAGATTTGGAGTGTCACAGCTGTATGAGACACACCTAGAGC